CTTAAAGACTTCCAGTGTTGGGACAATCACAACTTCTGGAGGCAAGCTGTTCCACTGATTAATTGTTCTAACTGTCCGGAAATTTTGCCTCAGTTCGCCTCAGTTCTTAGTTACTTCTCTCCTTGATTAGTTTCCATCCATTGCTTCTTGTCCTGCCTTCAGGTGCTTTGGAGAATAGTTTGACTCCCTCTTCTTTGTGGCAGCCCCTGAGATATTGGAAGACTGCTATCATGTCTCCTTCTTTTCATTAAACTAGACATACCCAGTTCCTGCTTATACAGTGGTAACTTAGTCCTCATTGTTAATCGGTTCTGGGAGGTGCAAAGAGTACCAAAAATGATGAGTACCATACTTTTTTTTGCAATAAGTAATAATATATGGAATCATAAGACAGCTGACACAGACAAGTTCAAGCTTGTGTGTTGGGCACCAAACAAACAATGAGCATGAGGACAAAATCTTCATGTCAAAATGCATTGAGTACCAAATTTGATGAGTTTCAAAGTAGTTAACTACCAAGGTACCCCTGTATTCATCGTTTTTCCTTCAATTATCACAAGACAATCACTTAAATTTCCTATTCTGCTTGAAGACAAGGACTAGTCCAGTTCAATTTTCTGTCTGAAACAATAGATAAGTGGCTGCCCTTCAAGAACCCAATTGCAAGCATATTCTTGTACCTGAGGAGAAGGGAACTATTTATGGCGCCATGACAGACTGATCTTTCAATTCTTTAACAGCCTCTCAGGCACTTGAAGCATTGATCTCCTTTGGCCTCATGGCCACACTGGCTCATAGTGAGCATATTATCCTTACCTCAAAGTTTAAAAGGCCCAGCATTTTAAGAGTATTCCTCCCTCCCCCCCCCTCTCTTTTTTTAAAAAGATTATATAGAATCTTGACTACCTCCATTACTGTAGTCTCAATTATTCTGAAAACAATTCTATTTTACAGTTAAAATGTTTTGAGAAAAAAAAAATATGTACTTAGCATTTTGGCTGAATCCACATAGCAAAGAAGTACTATTGAAATAGTCACCATAATTTTCTGGGGAGAAAAAAAGGAATTATTTAAAATATAATCCTACCCTGATATGCATGGTTAAAACCATCCATTGGATAACCTCTGTATAAAGAATAATTTATTAGTCTGCAAATTAGCGCTGGTGTAACTTTTTAAAATAAAATCCTTATTTCAGAATCGAGGATAGGGTGGATAGGTAGGATGAGAGAAATGAAAGGACCACATAACAGGAAATCCTCCAAATAATATAACTGGAGGCATTTCTGAAGAAGCAGAATATATATCTGATGTATTTCAACAGACTGTTCCTCTTAAAAGAAAGAAAAAATATTTATTGTAAATTCACAAATAAAATGGCAACCTAACTTTTGCAGGAAATAGGAACATGCAGTAAAAAGAGCTATAACTTCTCCTTATCTGTGGTTTATTTGTTGGATAACTTTACCTTACATGTGCTCAGTCTCACTTCCAGAAGTGTTTCATAAAGAAAAATACTATAATTTGGAGCAATGTACTAAGGCAACATAAGATACATGAGGGAACCTGAACAGATTACGTTAAGTCTTCTCTGGCACTTCATATATGAAATCAATTTTAAAAAAATATGACCAGTGAGTGAAAAGTTCAATGGTTTTACCAACTTGAAACAACATTTTCTGTTGTTTTAGAAATATAGAAATACAGGCAGACTACCCAATACAGTTATATGTTGTAATAGTCATAAAATAGGTAAGTCATATAACCAACAGTATTTTAAAACTTTTTTTTCGCAATCATTAAGCAAATCACTATGGTTGTTAAGCGAATCCACAGTTAAGCAAACATATGGTTTTAAACAAAACAATAGTTTTGCCCCAAACTGAAAATGCTGATTTTCAGCAAATAAAATTCAGTCATGTGACCACGGAGGAGGCTTGAAACTTCCAATCGAGATCCTAAGCCCCCTTTTTCAGGTTGGTTGTAATTTCGAAGTCGCTAAGCAACAAGTCATAAGTCGAGGACTACCCGCAAAGGCTTCCTTCAGGAGTTTCCATTGTTCTTGGAATTAGGGAAAACCACATTTACAATCTTGAGAATGTTTTCACAAAATCAGGTGTGTGAATGGAGAGGCCAAAAAACCTTGGACAGTAGTCACAACCACCTGTTTGAAGACCTTTTTTATACACAAATGTAACATTGTTAAGGTAAAGGTTCCCCTCGTACATATGTGCTAGTTGTTCCTGACTCTAGGGGGCAGTGCTCATCTCCATTTCAAAGCTGAAGAGCCAGCACTATCCGAAGATGTCTCTGTGGTCATGTGGCCGGCATGACTAAATGCCAAAAGCGCACAGAACACTGTTACCTTCCCACCAAAGATGGTGCCTATTTTTCTCTACTTGCATTTTTTATGTGATTTCGAAATGCTAGGTTAGCAGAAGCTGGGACAAATAACGGGAGCTCACTTCTTTGCACGGCACTAGGGATACAAACTGCCGAACTACTGACATTTCTGATTGACAAGCTCAGCATCTTAGCCATTGAGCCACTGCGTCCCTTGTAACATTATTACATATACCAAAAAAAAAGTGGTGTTGCAGCTGACATCTTGACTTTCTTTTTATGTCCTCCATGGAACAAAAAAAAGTGGCATAGTGTCTTCGCCCAAGCACAAATCATAGATCTGTAGACTTGAACTACACTTTTCTCTAATTCCAGGGCATAGTTCTTTACTTTGCTTTGTTTTGGGGGACAGGGGGATGGGGTTGGCAGGGCAAATACTTAATCCTTGAAATACAGCCACCTTCTTATTTTCACTCTCTTTAATGAAAATCTAGCTGTTAAGCAAATCTTGTGGCCATAAGTCTAATTCCACTTTCACAAATGGACACTTTTTTCCCATGATAATGTAAAATTTTGGGAAACAGTGCTTTGAGACAAACTCCTAATCCCAAACAGAAATAAATACACACAAAAAAACCTTGTAGAGGTAGTCTTTGACTTACAACCATTTGCTTAATGACTGTTCAAAGTTACTGAACTTATGACTATTTTTCACACATGACCATTGCAGCATCCTCATGGTCACATGATTTACATTCCGAAGTTTGATTCACATTTATGACAGTTGCAGTGTCCCAGGGTCGTGTGATCTGCCTTCTGACAATCAAAGTCACTGGGGAAGCCAGATTCACTTAACAACCGTGTTACTATTTGAACAACTGCAGTGATTCGCTTAACAAATGAGGCAAGAAAAGTAAAATGGGGCAAAACTCACAACAAATTTCTCATTTACCAAAATAAATTTTGAGCTCAGTTCTGGTTATAAACTGAGGACTACCTGTATTTCATTTTATGAAAAGCACAACTTCGTGGAAATTTTATGGATCATGATATGGAGATAAACAAACTACAAAATATGTGTGAATAATGATCATAAGATTTTATTTCTATGTAAGGAAAAACTCCCAAATGATAAGATCTGTACAAGATTAGAATAAGGTCTATTATGGGTTCTCCATCTCTCATACAGTTATGATCTGGGAAAAAGGTATGTAGAGTGAGAAAAATAATCAAGGCTGCCTTGACAACACCACAGTTCTATGATTTAATGGTTTTATATTTCTCAATTTGCAGCTCATTTAGTTAACTAAAGTGTTCAGCACATGGCTCACAAATAAATGGTGTTACTACAGTTGACGTGTTTCCCCGAAAATAAGACAGGATCTTATTTTCTTTTGACCGCCAAAATAAGCTCTTGGTCTTACTTTTGGGGAGGTCTTATTATTTTTGAGATGCAGGAGGGGGGTAAGCATAGTCATCTCATGGCTACTGCTGTGTTGCAATATTTTCGGGGAGGGTTTATTTTCAGGGGAGGGCTTATTTTAGCACAAGCACTCAAAAGCCCGACTGGGCTTATTATCTGGGGAAGTCTCATTTTTGGGGAAACAGGGTATTAACATAATAAATGGTTTAAAACAGGTATGACATAAAGCTTTCCAAGAGAGGGAACTTATACATTACCTTTATCCTTTAATAAACAATGAGTTTTGTTGAGGTTTTCAGTAAGATCCGAACAGGGAACACAATTATATCTTAGGTTACCCATGAAGAGCTGAAGACCAACCAATGCAAACACGGCCAAGAAGAAAACCGTCAGCAGCATCACATTTGCAAGTTTTTTCACTGACTGAAGAAGGGAGGATATAATGACTTTCAAACCTACGGCAGAGGAAGCATCAACGTTATTATGTTTCTGAGTTCTATAATCTCCCGGGATTTGAAACGGACTTCTAACATTACGCAACCATTATTAAAAAGGCACAACAAAGAATGTTCTTCCTGAACATTCCTGAACTCAGAAAGTTCAGGTTGTCCCAGGAATTGTTGATACAATTCTACCGAGGAATTACTGAGTCCGTCATTTGTACTTCTAGAACTTTCTGTACAGCACCAAACAAGACTTCAATGTAGTTAGGATTGCAGAAAAGACAATTGCGATCAGCTTGCCTTCCATTGAGGATCTAAATAACATAAGGGTCAGAAAGAGGGCTGTGAGAATATCTATACACCCCTCACACCCTGGACTTAATCTATTTCAAGTTCTCCCCTCAAGACAAGGCTATAGAGCAGGCGTGTCAAACTCAATTTCATTGAAGCCTGAATCAGAGTCGTGTTTGAGCTCAGGGGCCGAGATGGGCATAGCCAGGGTGGGCATGAGAATGGCCAGCTTGATGTCACTCATGTTGCAGGCGCCTGTGGTGGCACAGTGCTCTGCCAGTGTAAACAGGTTCCTGAGCTCCGTTTTCAGCTATGATGGCCTCCTGCAACCCTCTGCAAGTGAAACCCATCGTCCTCCAGAGCTCCGTTTTCACTGACAGAGGCATCGTGGGCCAGTCCGTTGCTGTTTCCAGGTTGGCCCTGTGGGCTACACCTAAGTACCCCGTACACCGGATCCAGCCCAATGGCCTTGAGTTTGACACCCCCGCTATAGAACATTGCATTCCAAACCAACTAAACACAAAGGCAGTTTTTTGTGCCCATTCGCCCCATCACTCTGCTCAACACCTAATTCCCACAGTGCTGTCTTATGTTTAAGTATATTTACCCGTGTAGTATGGCTGCATTATTATTATATTTCTCCTCTGTTCCACTAACTTCTCTTACCGGTGTTGTTGTTGTAGTTGTTGTTGTTATTATTATACTATGATTATTATTTCTTTGTTGTTTTGCATGTGTATACTGAGAGCTTATTTCTTGTGTTTCTATCATACTTGGCTAATAAATCTGTTCTGTTCTACTCTATTCTACCCTACCCTATCCCACTCTATTTCTACTCTACTCTGTTCATGAAGCTGCATAGACAACGTGTGTGTGTGTGTACAATAAATAAACTATCTGCTTTTGAAAGTGAATTTAAACTTATAACCATGAGATTTGCTTAACATCTGGATGAAAAATCAGGTCCATTTATGTGGTGCCTCAACTTACAACCATAACAACCTACAACTAAATTCCCAATTGTGGTTGTAAATCGAAGACTACCTATATATTAATATTCTTAGGATTCAGATTTGAGTTAGCTCTGTTTAACTTTCTGGTGCCTCTTTAAAATCCATTTAAACATGACATATTATGAACATATTCTGAATTCACACTAATTCTTTTTTATGCCATAATAAGAGCTCCCTGATTAGTATTACCAAGGTTTGAAATTGGGGATTAAATTCCAGGTTTCTTAGAACAACAGAAATATTATCAGATAGAAATGCAGCAGGTTAGCTCTCTGTTAAACTGGACCAGTTTATTTTTCAGTAAGACTGCTTTATGATTATTTTGATATATGTTCCTATAATGTAGTCTTTAAATCCTTAACAGTCAGTTTGTAAATTTTATATATTAGCAATAAAAATTGCTACATACTTACCTGGGATTACAGAAACTGCCTTTAAAGTTCTCAGAATCCTGAAAATTCGGAGAGCTGAAATGCTGCCAAATTTTTGATTGAAAGCTACATATCTGCATAAAGATACCATAATATTATAATATAATATTTTGCAGAGTTACTGTGAGTTGAATAGCATAGAAATGTAATAAAATATGATGGCTGGCTGCAAAGTCCGCCAGATGATTAGACTGGATTTGGCATATTTATCTACCTATTAAATCCTTCCCAAAGACCTGAGATAGGCAGATGTTTTCTGGTGATATGTGCATTCCTGTCAACATCATCATATCGGCTACTGAAATGTGTGGATTTGGACCACAAAGATAACAAACTAATTTCCAAACGTCCTTAATGCAATTGTTTTGGTAGCAGAACCTAGGAATAGCTTGGGCAGCTGATGTTAGTCCAAGCAGATAGGGTTTGGCTGGGTCAATGTATAAAAATACTCAGGACAGAAAAGCTGCAAATGTTACTACTAAATGAGATGGCAAATTGTAACTCTTTGTTGTATCATATAGTTTAAGATAAAGGTTCCCCCCTTGCACATATGTGCAAGTCATTCCCGACTCTAGGAGGCGGTGCTCATCTCCATTTTAAAGCCAAAGAGCCAACACTGTCCGAAGATGTTTTGGTGGTCATTTAGACTGCATGACTAAACACCGAAGGTGCATGGAACATTCCCACCAATGGTAGTCCCTACTTTTCTACCTGCATTTTTACATGCTTTCGAACTGCCAGGTTGGCAGAAACTGGGACAAGTAATGGGAGCTCACTCCATTACGCACCACTAGGGATTCAAACCGCTGACCTTTCTGGTTGACAAGTTTAGCGTCTTAGCTACTGAGCCACCACATCCCTCATATAGTTTAGAGAGCCAATTTGGTCTATTGGATAAAACACCAGGCTAGAAACTGAGAAACTGAATTCTAGTCCCTCTTTAGGCATGGAAACTGGCTGGGTGATTTGGACCAATCATTAGGAAACTGAGAGTTTTAGTTTCACCGTAGGCATGAAAGCCATTTGGATGACTTTGGGTCAATCTGCAGGGGACTGAGTTTTAATCCCACTTTAGGCATAATAGCTAGCTGGATGACTTTGGGCCAGTCCCTCTCTCTTGGCCCAATCTACCTCATAGGATTGTTGTGGGTAAAAAAAGGAAGAGGAAAGTATTTGGATATATTCATTGCCTTGAGTTGTTTAATATTAGGCAAATCTATTAATTTCTAAGCCACAGAATCTAAAGGTGGGATATAAATAATAAACAAGTAAATGTAAGTAGAATGCTCCAGAATGCGACTTCTGGCTGCTCCAGGAAGGAAAGTGATTGAAGACTTTGTAAGTAAGTCACTATAAAGAAGTCATTACAATATAAATAATGTTGATGGATAATTAACCTGCGAAATTCAATACACAGGATGGGGTAGTACAGGGCGGGGCATAACCTTTTCCTAGGGGGTCACAGCAACACTTGTAATAACAACACAAATAATTCATACACCATTCGAAAGCCCATCNTTGTTCCTTCAGCACTTTTTTTGCTTCTTGAAGTAACATCTCTCTTGCCTTTGTCTGTGCTTGAGTCGCTTTATTTTGCTCTTCATATGCCATTGAAACAACAGCCAGGATTAAATTGAAAAGATAGAATGAACACAGAAAGATGACAATAAAAAAAAATATGCTATAGGATTTCCCAGATGTTCTGATAACCTGTAAATACAAAATCAGAGAACCCCGGTTTCTTTGAGATCCCAAAGCAAATACATTAAATCAAGATTTCTTGCCAACATGCACATTTTGTGAACGTTTCAAAGAAATAAATTTGTTAATTCGATGTTGTAAAGATCATATTGTGCCTTATGGTCAAATTAATGAATTGTGGCACTTAATTGAGGGTGAAGATTCGTTCTCTGAGCTTGTGAGTTGGTTTCCGAACATTTCGTTACCAAGCTACATAACATCTGCAGCTGAGTTTATGGAAAGATGTTACCTAGTGAGGTACAAATGAGATGGGTTTTGTAATTTGTTAGCAATCATAGATACTTTGTATATTAACTTTATATTTTTAACGGTTATTTTGTGTTTCGATTTGACTTATTTTCTCTGTCTTAAAAGGGATAATCAGGCTCATTACAGACAGGAATTTAGAAATAAATTTAGGAATAAATACTTTTAACATTCCTAAATTGAAAAGATAAACAGGCTGGAGATGATTTCCAGTTAAGAAAAAGTTTTTTAGTACAAATTGGGGTCTAATTTATCCCTTTCGTGGACGCTAAACAATCTTTTTCCTTGCAATTTATGCCCCCTCTGATTTCAGATCTCATTTTAATCAACAGATGTGATATTCTGCGATGCAAATATATAACATGTTTGATTGTTTGTAACTGATTTCCTATGTAAAGAAGAGATTACTTTTATCCTGTCCAATCAACTTTCCTCTTGGATTTTTTCTTCGTTATGCTAATTGTAAAAGGTGTTGCAAGCTAAAGATTGGGGTTCCTTCTTTGAATGAGAGGAACCCCTTTTGTCTGAATATTCTGATAAATTATAATAAAATGATCTTCCTGTCTTGGTTTGTCTCATTGGAAAATATGCAGGCTAAGGCACAAGCCTGAAAAAGCCATATTTGGCCTTAACTAATCTGGTAACGATACATTTGGAAACCAACTCAGAAGTTTTGAGAACGAACTTTTCCCCTCATCCTAGACCTGAGCTGCAGATATTTGCCACTATTCCATAGAAAAATGTGATCATGTTTTTTATACTGTTGATAGGAGACCAATGACAATAATTTAATGCAACCCACTGTCAGGTCTGGAAGCCACCTTTTCCAGTGGGCCTTCAGGCCTGCCACATTTTATGCTGTGGGAAAATGGGTGGGGGATTATATGGAATATGGGAGATATATAGTCTAAATAACATTCCTTTCTCAGAGAGTCAAGGACATCTTACCCTGCACCTGAAGCAGCGTGACTGGGAGGCATCTCCAGTTGGGACGGTGCCTGATTGAGCCATGTGACAGACACAGGGGTGCTGGGCAGGGGCTTGGACTTTCATTTGGAGGGTTTTCCCAGATATGCCGTCTCTAATAAAATGGAACTTTGTGGAAC